TGACCATCAAAAGACGGAGTGCCAACTCATATGAGCACATTTGCAGCGTGCATATAAAATAATTAAAACATCTTTATTTAGTAGAAAAATCAAAAATTTTCAACACATTACAGAGATCACACAAATCCACTATTCTTAAAATCAAAAGCACTAAAATTGACAGATCTGGATCATTTTCTCACTGCACAAATTATATATAAAGCAATAAACAACCTACTTCCTGACAATATCATAAAGTTGTTTTCTAAAAGGGAACGGGATACAATTTGAGGGGGGAATTAAATTTAAAACATCATTGTATCTGTACAGCATTAAAAAGTTTTTGCATCTCTGTGTGTGGAGTGAAGCTGTGGAACAGACTTAATAAAGATATGAAGCAAAGTCCGAGCATGGCGCAGTTTAAAAAGCAGTTCAAGGGAATGATTTTTGCAGGGTACAGGGAGGAGGTAGAGATTTGATAGGGAGTTCTTGTCCAATATTTTCACAAGGCTGATGTGTGTGTGTGTGTGTGCAGGTGCACGGGTATGTTGGTATGGGTATATATATCTGTAGGTTGTGTATCCTTTGAGGTGTTACTGGGGTTATTGAATATTTGTATATGTATGTATATGTGTATGTACATATGTATATGTATATAGATAGATACACATATAATTAATACATTAAAAAACATATTGATTACTAGATAGTGGAAAGGGGGTGGGATTGAATAAGCGCATGCTTCCTCCTGCTCCTTTTTGAACATGAAAGTTATTCGTAGTTGTGGGTGCTCGTTTTCCTTCTGTTTTGCTTTGTTCGTTTGTCTCTTTTTATTTTCATGTTGTTTAACTTCTTCAACATATTCAAAATAAAGATTCAATCAATCAATCAATCAATCAATCAATCAATCCTAACAATGCTCAGGTAAATCTTTATTCAATTCAATTCAATTCAATTTAATTCAGTTCAATTCATCTATATAGCACTCTTCACAGGATAAAAACCACAAAGTGGTTCACAGTAATATAAAAAAAGAAATACATAAAAAACAAACAAACAAAAAACAAACAATCAACCCCCCCAGCACAATCAAACATACAGCACAAAGCTAATTAAAAGCCAATCTAAACAAATGAGTCTTAAGCTGCTTTTTCAAAGAATAAATACAATCAAGGCAACGTAATGATGGAGGGAGAGCATTCCACAACCTGGGGTCCACCGCTCTAAAAGATCTTTCTCCTCTGGTTTTAAAACGTGTTTGGGGGACTACCAACAGCCTTTGATGAGATGATCTCAGGCTGCGAGAGGGAGCGTGGGGTTCTAACAGATCAGAAATGTAGGCAGGGGCATCACAATTCAAAGCTTTAAAAGTCAGTACCAAGATTTTAAAATGAATTCTAAAATGTACTGGAAGCCAGTGTAATGAATGTAAAACTGGTGTAATGTGCTCTCTTTTTCGTGTCTAAGTTAAAAGCCTTGCAGCAGCATTCTGGACTGACTGGAGACGGTCCAGATTCCTTTTGCTTAAACAAAGAAAAGGCTGTTACAATAATCTAAGCGAGATGATATAAAAGCATGAATAACCATTTCTAACGCAGATTTAGACAGCAAAGTTCGAAGTTTGGAGATGTTTCTTAGCTGAAAAAGGCAGTTCCTAATTAACTGTCGAGAGTATTGTTCTCGGGACATGGCAGAATCAAAGATCACACCAAGGTACCTGATGCTCAGGTGAACAGATGAGCCAAGAGAACCAAGATGCTGTTTGATTAGAGATATCAATGGTGTCAAAGGCAGATGTCAAGTCCAACAAAACCATGACTGAGGATGCTCCGGAGTAACATGATAATGTCACTAGAGACTTTAAGTAATGTGGTTTCTGTTGAGTGACTTTTACGGAAACCTGACTGAAATTTGTCATAGATTTCATGTTTTTCTAAAATAGAAGTAAGTTGATCTGCAACTACTTTTTCCAGAATTTTCGACAGTAATGGGAGCTTAGAGATAGGCCTATAATTCTTAAGCTGAGTTGGATCCAAACTGCTCTTTTTTTAATATCAGCTCAACAACAGCATGCTTACAGAACCTATGGACCACACCTGTTGAAAGAGAGGCATTGCATATCTCTACAATAGAGGGGCCAATGACTGAGAGAGCATTTTTAAACAGCCCAGCAGGTAGAATGTCATTTGCACAAGTGGTAATTTTCATTTTATCCAGCAGGAGTGAAAGGTCATGTATGGTCATTGGGTTAAACACTGACAGTAAATGAGGGGGAGGTGGCCCAGAGACACAAACAGACAGTATTGAAGAACCAATGCTCATACGGACATTATCAACTTTATCCACAAAGAAATTCAGAAAGTCATCACTCTCAGATATGGAGGTCACGGGTACTGGGTGGACCACGGGGGAAACAATAGAGTTTATGGAGTTAAACAGTGCCTTGAAATTTCTCTTGCTTGATGAGATTAACTGAGAAAAATATCCTGATCTGGCTGTTTTTATGGTTTCATGTAGGGAAACCCAAAGTTCCCTAAGGTGGAGCCTGTGAACTTCGAGTTTGGTTGATTTCCAAAGGCGTTCTACTTTCCTACAGATTATTTTGACCTTCCTTATGTCATCATTTATCCATGGATGAGCTCTTTTTGGGGCAGCAATGACAGATTTCATAGGTGCCACTGAATTTAAAATCTCCAAGCAGTGATTGTTAAAACACTGTGACACCGCTTACGGAACATGAGATTAGAAGGTGGTGTGTACAGAGGGAAGCTAAGATTAAAAATAACACAGGAATGGTCACTCACTTGTACGTCCTTAACACAGACATTAGTTATGTCTAAGCCAAGAGAAAACACAAGGTCCAAGGTGTGGCCTTTAACATGGGTGGGTCCAGAGACATGCTGAATAAAATTAAAAGAGTCTGTAATGGATAGAAAGTCAGAGGCCGTGCTACAGCTAAGATCATCCACGTGCAGGTTGAAATCCCCAATCATTCAGACCTTCTCTAGTTTAATAATGTAAGCTCAGTAGGTAGTGTGGTCGCCCCATGATTGGAAGGTCAGGGGTTCGAATCCACTACCCTGAGGTATCCCTGAGCAAGGTACCGTCCCTACACACTGCTCCCTGGGTGCCTGATTTGTGGCTGCCCACTGCTTCACTAAGTAAATGGGAAAAGACTAGAGCAGAAAGAGTAATTTCCCCACGGGGATCAATAAAGTACACATTATAATTGTTCTGGCTCCTTAAGAGTCACCACTCACGTTATGTAGTGTTATACAAGTTCATGCAATCTTTATTCGTTTCTGGCACACTGTTCATTTTATTTTGACATTCTACCGGAAGTGCTACTTCTCATTACTTCCTGTCTAACGGGAGAAGGACAGTTTGCTACTCCTGTGCCTGCCTATGCTGCCTCTTAAGCCAGCACAGTCTGTAAGTTGGCAGTAATGTTGTGTTTTACCGGTGAATGTTTAGCACTAACTGCCGTGTGTTGTTTGTGATATTTTGAGAAGGTAAATTGACTCAATGTTGTGCTTTATTAGTCATTAGCCTAAACGCTAATTAGCGCTAGCTAACCGCTAACGTTAGCTTGTTAGCTTGTTTCGTTCTGCTTTGCTTTGCATAGTAACAGGTCATAGTATCTTCTAATTGTAAGAATGTTTGCTTATATTAGCTCACATGGGATATTTTGTGTTTGTTTACAGTTTTACCATTCATCCATTCATGTATTTCAACAAAGCCATGCTATGCATCCAATCAAATAAATCCACCAGAAAGGAACAACGGTGTGGTTTTTCTACATGGGATGATGGTTGTCTGTCTGCCTAGTTAAGTGCGAGGGCAGAACAATAATTATTATTCTAAAAAGTCTGTAAAATCTTGAATAAAAACACCAGCGGGGCCGGGAGGGCAGTAAATTAAAACACAATAAAACATATCTGATGAACCAACTTTAAGAAGCCGTGACTCAAAGGAAGGAGGAGGAGTCCATAGCTCTGCAAGCAAAACTGTCCCAGTGAACAGCAGTGTTGGGCAAGTTACTTTGAAAAAGTAATTAATTATAGTTACTAGTTACTTCTTCAAAAAAGTAACTAAGTTAGTAACTGAGTTACAAGATTCTAAAAGTAATTAATTACTTGAAGTAACTATTGCGTTACTTTAAAAAAAAAAAAACGTTTAACCCTCTGGGGTCCAGGGTATAATCGGCCATTTTTAACTACTTTTGGTTTTCCCTCCACATTTCACCTTTAAAAACTATTTATTTGCCTCGTTTGGTATCTTCCTTTTCAGCACAACCTCACGTGTCTGAATTTACAGTCATGTTTTCATTTTTATGGACTGTATTAACACAATTGATCTAAAATCAGACAAAAAAACATAAAATCAGAGTAGAAAACGTTTTTTTTACTGTAACAACCACAAACATGTTTAATGAATCATGTTTCATAACTTTAAATGTAAATATAAATTGTCAATTTTAAAATCCTATACACAAGTTTTGCAAACGACAAAGTTATTTGCATCCATTTACCTTTTACCTTGATTTTTTTAAATAACCACTTCAAACTATTTACAGAACAATCAGCTGTTCTGCATTCAATAAGATGCCACAAATTATTTGTGCCACTCCAAATATTTCTGTCCACTATAAAAAAAGTAATGCCGTAGGTAACGCTGTTACAAGTAACGGCGTTACTTGTAACGCCGTTATTCCCATCACTGGTGAACAGTGACCAGACCACCACCACAACAGTCCAAACGCAGAGTACCGATGAAGTGACAGCCGACCAGGCAGAGTTCATTATTGATTCCGTGAGAAACATAAAGTCCAGACTATTACTGCTAAAAAAGTTATTCAGTACAAATGATTTGTTGGCTATGGAGCGAGCGTTTAGGAGAGCGATCTGAAGCAGAGGTGACAGGCTGATGTCATCAGCAGCTGATTGACAGGGAATTGACAGCAGACACCTGGAATAAGGACGTAGTCTCCCGGTACCCCTGGCTGTGGAACTGTGGTCTTGTATGACAGGCCAAGGTAAAAAAAAAAAATCCCGCATCTCCAGACATGATGCCAATCCAGGTAATTGTTCTGTTTGTCTGTTTTGCTTGGCATTATCCGCGTCCTGAAGTGTAACCGGTATCAAATACCGGAGATGTTGTCTACCATGGAGCGGAGGAAATCCCCCCCTTTAAAGAGTTCCTGAGAAGTCCCGTCTCAACACTTATTTAAGCAGCTGTTTCTCAAAGGGAGTTAGCTATGCACCAAGCCTATTGTGTGCTGTGCTCTGGTAGGAATCCAGTCTCTCTGAGCACTTTGTTCACAGCTGGTGTGAAGTGGGCGCTGTAGCTCAGCAGTCTGCCATCATAAATCAGCTTGTCTTTTGCCAGGTTGGGTTGTCTCGGAAATCTGCAAAAAAAAAGAAGAAGTATGAAACAGGTTTGTATGTGCTTAATACATTATAAGAGAGACAAAAGATTCAGAATAAAAATATCTAAAAATTACGTGCTAGCAAAGATGCTGTTGGAAGTATATCTTACAGGTAAAAACACAGTGATAAATAAGTAATTTTTATTTAGACAATTGTTTTGTATAAAGCACAATTTGTAAATAATTTGTAAATACATTCTTTACAATTTTCATCAAATCCTCCTGGAACTCGGTGAGTGTCCTTGTTTGGCTACCGTTATAAATTCTTTCTGACCCCAGAAAGACTAAAGAAACAATAGATCTTAATGCACAAGGGTGAAATCTGTAAAATGTATAAATAATATCCACAATATTCAGAACAAAAGGAACTAAGTGTTTAATAAATTAAAAGTCACTGCTCAGGAACAAAAACATGAATCTGTTGATAAAGAGAGGAAGGTGAAAGAAATATTAGTGTGGTAAACAAACAGATTTAATAATGGGTTTATCCAGTGAAGCACAGCAGAATAGCATTAAAAGGGAAACAGACTATCATGGGATTGAGCACAATTTTTGCTGGTTTTTGTAGCAACTAATGATGAGGAATTGTTTAACTAATTTACCTTGTGTGGTACATCCGTGCTATGTTCCTGTCAATCCAGGAGCAGCCGTGCTGTGACTTCAGAACCCCATGAACAGTTGTTGCAAACACTGCTCGAGGGTTGACAATGATCTTGAAGTTAGAGTAATGAGTCTCCTCAATGATTGGTTCTTGGTACAGGTGAGCCAAAATGTTCACACCAGTGACATTCTTCCAGTCAGTCTGTGGTGGCAGACTTTGGGATGCTGGAGGAGCCAACATGACATTGATGGGGAACACGTTATTTTCAAACATGTAGCACTTGTTGGCACCATATTGGTTCTCCAGCAGCGGCAACAACTCTACCCAGCTGGCAACAGAATAACAAGATAGTTATAACATGTAAAACCACTTGAACAGTACACAAGCAATTAAAGGATGACTAACCACAGCAGGAAAGTTGAAAACAATTTCAATAATGTGTTTTAAGTGATCTCTAAGTGATCTTAAGTGATCTCTCAAAGTTTTTCTTTGGATTTTCCCATATTTCAGCACCAAACCTTGGACTTGACCTTCTACTTTTAATGTTTGTTTGTTTGTTATTTCACTAACCTGGGAATCGTTTAGGCAAGTCTACTAACTTACTATTGGTGTCATGAATCCAAATTTTGGCTGACATTGTCATCAATACACACCAACAGGACACACCTTCTTATTTAATGGTTTTTCTTTGTTTTTACTCCTTTCTACATCGTATATACATACTGCAGACTTCAAATTTATAAAGCAAGATATATATCATTCCTATCAAAGAAAAAAAAGATAAATAGCTGACCAAAGTGTTGTATAAAAGAAATATAAGAGAACAAATTTTATTTATTTGTTGTACTTTCAAAATAAAAATCACTTATTCCTAACTTTAATAAGCTGAAGTTCAAATGAAGAAAAATGTTCAACATTGACTGAACAACAAGAGAACCGGTTTTGAGATGACTGGATGTCTGATGCTGACTGATAAAGAACTGACGATTAAGGCAAAGCTTGATGAGGCATAAAAAGTCAAAGCCAGATCATCAGGTTTCCGAATTTTTTTTCAATACATAAAATCGTTCAATAAGAATCTTTTATTAGTTAATGATCAGTTAATGATGGGAGCAGGTACAAAATAATAATATAAAGCAGGGGTAGGCAACTCCAGGCCTCGAGTGCCGGTATCCTGCAGGTTTTAGATCGCACCCTGGGTTAACACACCTGAATCCAATGATTAGTTCATTACCAGGCCTCTGGAGAACTTCAAGAAATGCTGAGGAGTCATTTAGCCCTTTAAATCAGCTGTGATGGATCATGGACACATCTAAAACCTCCAGGACACCGGCACTCGAGGCCTGTAGTTGCCTACCCCTGATATAAAGGAACAAAAAGCCTGTGACTAGAAACCTGGAACATGAAACATAAAAACCTGAGACAGGGAAATACGGAAGCACCGCTGCAGTTGTGGATATCAGGGGGAGCACCTCTGTTCACCAGGTGGTCCCATCAACCATGGTCAAAAGGTATGTGAAACCCTGTGACTGTGGTAGAGGAACCACGAGATCAACATGCACATGATCAAAAACATTTGCCAGGGATGAGAAATGGTTCAAAGGGTGCCTTGGTGTGCCTATGGACCTTTGCATGCTGGCATGGAACGCACGCTGCAGTCCATTCACTAACAGACCTGCGAAGGCCTGGCCAAACAAACTTGAAGCTGACCAATTTAACAAAGGCCCGGAACCCCAGATGTGATAGAACGTGCACTGAGTCAAAAACGTGACGACGCTATGAAACGGGGACCACCAGGGTTAGGGGATTATCCTGACAGAGGACAAAATGAAAGGCAGCAAACATCCAAAGAAGAGCTTTGAATGTCCTTCAAGAAGCCTGGAGAACTATTACTAAAGACTACTAAAAAATTATAAATATTGACTTTCAACCTCATTGACCTCTCTAATCATGCAAACTGTTCTTGTTTTGTCTTATATTTTGTATCTCCATGTATGTTTGCAGCACATGTTTTAGTATATCACTGCACATATTTTCCATCTTCATAATAAACCATGAAAATACACACACATACCTGATGACTTTCTGGGGCAGTATGAGCTCATCTATATCATGTAGAGCCACATATCTGGACTGGTACATGTATCTGTAAAGGCAGTCATTGAGAGCAGGAATCTGACCAAAGTAGTGAAGTTCACCGGGACCATGTACAGGCAGCCAGCCACGAGACACGTTCACATATCTGGACAGAGACCAAGGAATCACCTCCAGTAAACCTGAGAAAAAAAAACATTGGAAGCAGTTCAATGTCAGTAATTAAAACTAGACATTACAATTACTGCAACTCCAACCTCAAACTGAAATCATTGAACTGGTGAAATGCATTCTGGATCTTTATGGTGAAGCAGACACATGAAAACAAAACATTACCTATTTTTTTTTGTCTCAGTGAATAAGACTAGAGTAATAAACAACCTGGAGCAGCAGCAGGCTAAGAAACAACCCAACGCAAAAACTTAATGATCTCATTAAAACAACCTAAGGTTTTGGCTGCACTAAAAACAGACAAAACAGACTCTCATCTGTTGCTCTCAAACATGATCCAAGAATGAATGCTAGTTTTCATAAAGGTTTCCAATATTAGAACTGGTCTGTGTGACTAAGTGAAAGGCTCTGTTGTTAATTGAAAGGAAGGTTGTGTATAGGAAATGAATTACTGCTGTACCATGTGTGAAACAAAAAAATAAAAAATACATAAATCCACAGAGAACTATCAGTTCTTTTAGGTACTTAGTTTTAGTCATTTTTAATGTTTCCATTAAACATTAGAGAAACCAATATTAAGTATAAATCCAGTTTGTGAGCATTGGCCACGGAAGGATCCTGTGAGAGCTCATGCAGTCTTAATACTGAGACCACCAAACAGTTCCAGGTCTCTGTAATACACAGCAAGTCAAGATGACTCACTTGCATAAACAGTGAAAATCTGGAAACGTGGAAACATGAACATAAAGACACGGGAGAATCTGACAAAATGTGTAAGACAGTTTTAACTTTCACTCATTTCAGCTGCAGCCCTGATGGTGTTTGATGGTCTGAGAGCACATAAACAATACAAACTTGCAAATTTGATAGATCTATAAGTACAAATTTGTATCCTGTTTTAGAATTATATATCAAGTTTTATAAAACAATACAATTGTTATGAAAATGTTTATAGCCAGCATTAGATAAATAAATAAATAAATAAATACATAAATAAAATAAAATAAACATCAGGTTTTACAGCTGCTTCTATTGATGTGTGTCAGACAAAGACCAAAACTTTAGATGGGGGGAATTTGTATATCTGTGTCTGAGTACATGTGCATGTGTGTGTGTGTCCAACTCGAGAGAGAGTGTCCTTTCACCAGTTTTAAACAAAAGTCGACAATCCCCAAGCCGACGCAGGTGATCTTGAAGAAGTAGGAGGAAAGGGCAGAGAGTCATACACCGTCTTGTTATCTGGGAGAATTTGTTGTTCCAGCTTTGGCCCTGGAGCTTCCAGCTGGTTAGGGGAGGCCACCTAAAGATAGTGGTTGTTCGGGTTTGGTTTCTGCATTCCAGTTCCATCATTGGTCCACAGATCTATCAATTTCCCGTTGCGGAGTCGCAAGCTTCTCTATGATTTTATCCATATTGCGTTCAATAAACACTGTCTGAGTACTTGTGGCTCTACCCACGGCATCAATCCAGCCGGCCTTATGGGATTTTGAGCAGCTGTAACCGTTTCCATTAGTCGTCAGTAAACCAGGGCCGTGCCAGCTCCAATCAGCAAGAACCCCGTTATCATGGTTCTGAATAGGTAGATGTCTTCAACGCCCTCCATTCAGCCTGCCCAGGGTTCTCATTGAGAAGAGGATGTCAATTGCATCAAGAGACCAATTGATCAAATCCGTAATTTCTTGGTTAGAGAACAAGACAGAGAGAGTCTCTTTGAGTTAGACAAGACTAGACAAGGACAAGAGAAGCCAAGCAGGAAAGATGAGGGAGAAAGACGCGACCACCTCTGCCAAGAGCCAAACGACCCAGGTTAACATGTTTAATATGATGTCATTTTCAAAAGAATTGATTGGTCAGTAATGATTTCACACTTAACCTCTTGTTGATCTCTTATCCTAAAAATGATCTGCCCCTGAGAAGGTTAGGTTTCCTGTCTATGATGCCATATTGATATTCCTTGTTTAAACACGAACCATTATCATAGTACTGAAAACTCCAGGCTAATCCTGAAGTTGCCTGGAGAAGTCCAAATCCAGTACAAACTGGAGTGATTTATAGAGGAAACTATAGTAAACTAGTGTATGTTTTGATCACAAAACATTAGTTGTGATTAGCTGAAGGAAGGAAGTTCAGGGTGTTTGGCAACTTCACTCAGTGTTCACTGTGGGAAAATGCCTTTAGCTGGTGATGTGAGGTCATAAGGAAAGACACACTCAGACAGAAAATTATACCATACTCCACCTTTTTGTGTGTAGTAGTCCAGTATTCGTTGCGTTTCAGGACTGCAGCTGGTTTTATAGACAACCACTCTGTTCACTCCCAGTAACTGCAGCATCTCAAGACTCTGTACCAGCTACAATCCAACACAGATATTTGAGAAGGTTCAGACAACTGTAAGTATTAATATGCAAGGCAGGCAGAAAAGTCTTGCTTATCATTATTATAACTGTAAGGAATACTGGGAAAAAGATACATTTTCTGTTTTTATTTCTTCCTGTCATGGTCTGCATACTTTAGAAAACAAGTTTCAAAAATCTATTTTCTTCTGTCTTCTGAAAGCAAGAAAGCAAATGTCACTGTACCTGCAGCACGTTGGTAAAATCAAACATGGTGGAGATGTAGACTGCTGGTTCTTCACCTCTAAAAACTCTTGGTTGGGATCATCTTAAGAGACCACACAAACATACACTTTTTCCATTTCAATTTTGATAAACGAACTCCAATACTTTTTGGGTTAGATTATGTTAAAATTATGAAACTAAAGATTTTGAGTTCAGGCACATTGTGAATCAAGAATCTAAATATTTGTGTCACAATGATTTCTATAAAAGCATTTTGTTTATGGGGATAATGCGACAAATCTTTTGTGCGTCCTATTAATGATCAATGGTAATTGAAGAGGAAGCTTGAACCCAGGCTCAGGACATTTTCATGACAAGTGACAGCGCAGACATCTGCTAATGAGAGAACATGTTTTATCATCATAAACACGGTGATATGAAGCATCGTTAAAGTGTCACTTCAGTAATGTTGACTCATGTTTTTAATAGGTGACTTTAAAACACTAAACTCTAATTTCTGTGGTTATTTTAAGTTTACAGAATATAACACGTGGTAAGACGATGAGTTTTACTTCTCACCGTCCGTGTTATGTGTATCTATTTATCATGTATGCTGCTTTGCTCTACGGACTGTAAAATGTTTCACTGTGTTCATGAAATAAACCAGACTTTCACTGTCTGCATCTTTTACTGTTTTTTCTGCTTTTGTTCACTCCAAGTTTGACAAACCTACAGATATCCAGGATTAACTCACTAACAATGTGGAGCAGTCTCAGTGTATTTAGCTATTTTTTCCCTAAACACAACAGGCCTGTAGGCCTCACTTTGGTCATTTTGAATGCTGAAGGAGATTTGTTCCATAGACACCTTATACTAGTGTTTCCTGCACTACTATGTTCTATTTAAATCCAGATTCCTTCTATAGTTTGCAGTGAAATTTGTTAAACCGTTGCTTAATGGGACAGAAGTACAAGTCACTCTTTACTAACACATTTGTAGATACGTTTATTGCTGAACAACACAGCTAGCAGTCTCACACACTCTTTAGGTTTTTCAAGTTATGTGTGTAAGGGTTTAGTCTATCAAACCTCACCCTTTTCTCCCCAGTATCACAACAGTATGACTCCCAAAGTACAGATCAGTAAACAACCTATGATTCTAAAGCCAGAACAGAAAGATACAGTTGGAAGATGAATGATTGCGTTTTTATGACGCACACACAGAGGATCCCCAACTCTCTCATATAATTTTGTACCTCACTAAAGCGTACACTAGATGGCACTGCCTCTCTACATCTCATCCTGTAAGTCTCTCCATTTCACTTTTGCAGACTTGAATGTGGAAATTAAGTATCTGCTGCCAGCTGCCCTTTCTTCATTTTAAAACGCTACCAACAAAGATAACCATGGAAACCTTGAGATATATGATTTGTAATTCAGGACGTTTTTTTGTCTCGTGAATGCTGTTGTAGCTGTAGAGTTTAAGAATAGTAAATGAATCCTAATTCCCGATTTCAAGCTCAGTATGTTTACCACACTATGGGTACAGGTTTGATATTTGTTGGCTAAAATGATTTGTATTAAAATGCATTCACCAAAATATCTGTACTGGTTAGTAATGCCTACAGATACTGGCAGTTCCTAACATCTTGAAAAATGCAAGAGGACCTGTAGAGGGAGCTGCCAAAACACTCTTCAAGCTTAATGTTGTGTGTTGAGTTTATGTCTACGGGTAGAAATGAATACTTGCTTCAAACATGTTCACTTAGTCGTCATTTATTAGGCACATACAGCTAAAATGAATAGAATCCTACTAAAGATGTTGTTTGTGATGCATTTAAACTACTGAGTACTTGAGGGGGCTGTTCCAAAGTTTCCAATGTGCAACTTAGTAAAAACTGGACAGTCCTGCAACTCTGAATCTTGGGGCCACTTAAAGCTGTTGGCCCACTGACCAGAGTGTGCCAGGTCTAACGAATAACCCGGGGCCAGCATTCAAGCATTTCTAAGTAAGCAGTAAAACTTTGCTTCTTCTCTGTGGAGGTCATGTGTGAGGAGGTATAACACAAACAAACAGAAACAGGAACACTAGAGGATCGATTTCTCCGTTTGAGCTCCAGAGTCTGATGGCTCTGAGAACAAATGACTATGAACTTTGACATGCTTGGGGTTATAAAGGAATGTGGACACTAAAGCAGTGACCTTTTATTTGTCCCTTTTTATTTTCAGTGCCGTGGATTTCAGCATGTTTTGGTCGAACTTTTAGGGAAACTTTTGTTTAATATACTGAAAAGTAACAAATGCTATAAAAGCACTTTTTGTTGTGTTTATTAAAGCTAATAGCTAGAAATGTTCCTCAGAGGTTTTGCATCTTAAATACTACTACTTAAGGATTTTTTGTTACAGAGGTACGAATCAGATGGAATCAAGGCAGGGCAACTGAAACAGGCTGCATGCCGGTTGTCATCATTTCTTTAGGGATTAATAAAGTATTTTGATTCTGATTCTGCAGAGGCTTCAAAATATAGGGACTCTGGGGGTGAAAAATTGGAACTGGAATTGATGTGTGTTAAGTTTGTAGTCTGCAATCTTTTGAGTCTGAGAGTGAGAGAGTGAGAGAGAGAGAGGGGTAGTGATGGGTCACAAGGGCTAATTTTTTTTGTCCAGCCCTGACTGCATTTTGTGATGAAAAAATTATCATAACACAAATGGATGAAATAGTTGATTATTCTAAATAGCTAACAGCCTACAACTTATGAATGGAAAAGAATACTCATTAAAGACACCAGGAAGTCTTCCAGTGTCCAGTTTAGCAACAGCTTTTTACAGACTTGTTTTATGCCACATGAAATACACTGTTAATTGTATCTTTTTACTATATCGCTTTTGTTTTTATCATATAGAAGTTATATTAAATCCAGTTTTTATGAGTTCAAGGAAACTTTCCCGTTTTAGAAGATAAATAGTGGACAGACAAACATCTTTAATGACAATGTGCCCCTAGCTTCTAAAGACAGTGAAAATGTAAAGCCTGCAGAATTGCATTTGTCACAGCTTTACAGGGTTACTACTACTACTGCATGTGCAGTCTAAGTAAATACCGAGAACCATCGTCAACATACATTTCTCAGTGTTATGAAAGCACTTTAGTAACTGGTGTTTAAATGTCAGGTCTCAAGCAACTGAAGCAACATGACTTAAGCAAATCTACCTCCCACATGGATTTTTGACTTGAGCCATTTGTTTGCTTAATGAGACCCTCAGTTCCTCTGAAATCACAGTCCAGTTCCAGCAGCCAAATAACGTTCTTAACTTAAAAATACACAGTTGTGCCTCAGCATCACAGGTGAAACGTATTTATGCTTCTAAGTTATCTAAGTTTGCTGTTTAATTTTTGTGAGCATTTCAGGGTATTTGATGAGAGCCATCTGCTTATTAGGACACCTCCTTGAAACAGCCCAAGCCCATCCATTCCCTCCTAAGCTCCCCCGTTAACCAATAATTCTTCTTTTTCTCTCTAAGCTCAGCACAAACCCTTCCCTGCTGCTGAATTCTCCCAAATCACTTTATCCACCCATATCTGTCCACACACAGGGAAGCCACCCCTCACCCTCGCTCCCAGGCTGATTCCAGTTTATTCCCATTCAGCTGCATTAGCATACAGATGTTAGACTGAAAACGGAAAGCAGGGACACACAAAGGGGCTTCGTGGCCAGGAGGGGCGGGAGGGATTGAGGGGCTGCACAGGGATGGCCCTTGGCCTTTTTAAGGTCTTGACACACACACACACACACACACACACACACACACACACACACACACACACACACACACACACACACACACACACACACACACACACACACACACACACACACACACACACACACACACACACACACATGCAGAGAGAGAGAGAAATCCCCAGCTCCCTCATATAATTTTAAAGGACAGAACATAAGAAAATATCCAATATACGATTATTTTTATACCCTGCCAATGTCCCACATGTGAATGTGACTAGGCTGAGAATGTGAGCGGGAATAATGAAAAGAAAAACCAATATTTTTTAACTTGGACTGAGATTGTATGTTTAATTCTAGTTGTTTAATTCTACCAGGTGATTCAGGTGTAGCAGCAGGTTCTGTGGTTTAAGCTGCAATAATGCACCAGAATGACTCAAGTCTGTCTGAAAGGACAGAGTTGAGTGTTTCCACTTAAAAGATGACAACGATAACTATGTGGAAATGAAGTATCACCAACACACCGTGCTTTTCAAATATGAACACAATCACAAATCAGGCCCTGTTGAGCCCGTCAGGTGTGTTTTCATTTCTGGAAGTATTTGTAGGCTGCAGGACACACGATGCCCAGTTTTCTGGACAGTTATGATTTCTATTCTCAAATGGGCTCAGTCTATCATCACACTAAATTTGTGTGATCTGGCAGGCTAATACCCTTTGAATGCTCAGTATCACACAGTTACAGTTATGCTCTTACATAGGGCTCAGCTGGAAAATGTAAAGTAAGCGCTGGAGCTGCAGTGCATATGCAAAGTTTTATCTGGAACAAAGTTCCTCTATAAACTAGTTCTGCCACTCTGGAGCCATGCAGACAATGTCTGTGAGACAGCTTTTTTAAATGCCCAAAAAGATAAATAAAACTGCTGTTTTTGTACGTTACATACACAACGTTTCACACTTCTAGCCTCGTTAGCATCTCAGTCCAGAGTGTCAATGTGATCACTATTTAACTCTTAGAATTAGAGGAAGTTTAGATAACTTCCATCAATTCTGTCACTGATTTCTATTTAGGATCATTCGAGTGCCATGTGTCATCAGCACTCGTGTTTCATTCACTGTTTGGTAACTTTTACTATCAAAACTATTTGGTTAATGTTACGAAACACCAGATAGACATTTTACAAAATTCACCATATTGTGCATGAAAAGTTCAACCCTGTCTACAGTGATCATTAAAATATGGGATTGTTAAAAATAAAATAAAATATTATTATTATTTTTTTTTAATCATCAAAATGTGGCCATTTGTGCCTTTAAT